AAATAAAATCTTTAAAAAAAAAAAAAAGATGATGTTCAGGTGTGTGTTTTTCAGATGTCCTTTATCAGATTGAAGAACTTCCCTGCTATAACTAGTTTGAGTGTTTTTATCATGAAAGAGACTTAGATTTTATCAGATGTTTTTTCTGCACATATTTAGATTTTCATGTGTTTTTCTCCCCCTTTGTTCTATTAATGTGGTATATTACATTGATTGATTTTCAACTGTTAACCTACTCTTGCATTCATGGGAATAAATACCTTTTGGTCATGGTGTGACCATTTCATACGTTGCTGGATTCAGTTTAGTATTATTTTGTTAAGGATTTTTGTGTCTATACATGTAAGGGATATTGGTCTGTAATTTCCTTGGATACTGTCTGGTTATGACATCAGGATAATACTAGTCCTATAGAATACGTTGGGAAGTTTTCCCTCCTATTCTACTTTTTGGAAGAGTTTGTGAAGGATTGGTCTTTTCCGTGTGTGTGTGTGTGTGTGTGTGTGTGTGTGTGTGTGTACAATGTAAGAACCAAAAACTACTGAATTGTACACTTTAAAAGGGTGACTTTTATAGTATGTAAAGGGATCGATAAGAGCCCATAATCCCTGTGGAGGCCCATCTACTTCTGGTTTACCTTTATTCTTCGGGTGGAGGCCTACAGAGTTTACCAAGTTATCCCTACTATGGTAAGCCTTCAACTCCAATCTCTGTCTCCCTAGTCCCTCAGAACTACCAAAAGGACTGCTCATTCTATTAGTCACCGGCCCCTCTAGAAGGAGCAAATACCTTTTTGATAGTCCCAAACTCCAGGCTCATTTTTGTGAATTTCTATCCTCCTCCAGATCTTGTACTGGTAATTCTGAGATCTTGTTAGTTTTCAACGGTTTTAAGCACGTTTTTGTTGTTAATAATTTGTCTGGCTTTTCTAGCTACTTTCAGTGGGAATGATGGTCTGAGTTACCTAGTTAACTACTACTGTATGCCTGAGTCATCAATTTTTTTAAAGTTATAAAACAACCATAACTTTATCACCAACAATATTTCTTGTTTGAGGATATAAAATGTTTTGGAATGATATTAACAAATTAAAATTTAAAACAACTCCTCTCTATGCCATTAAAATGTATACAAACTCTCTTGGGCTTAGAGTTCAACATTAATATAATTAATTTCACTGTTTATGAACTCTAGCCATAACCTGAAAAGACCACATTCATTTCCACAGCACACTGTAGTCTTCAAAACACTTTCACCATCTGTTATTTGTAACTCGTTCCTAGTAACTCCTCAACTTATCTCCTAAGTAGGTAAAACATTAGATCTTCATTTTAAAGATGGATAAACTGAAGTTAAACTCAATCATTTATTAACTTCTAAAACAATGTCAGAAATTGCTCTGAAATTCAAACACACATGACTTTTGCAAACTCACCTGACTTTCCACCATGGCAGTCTGTACCAGACTCAGATTCGAATGTTGACACGTATTTCAATATTTGATGTCCACAGCTTATAGAATAAAACAGATAAATATACCTTTATAAATGAGGCAAGCAAATTTTGGCCTAAATACAATTAGAAAATCTGCTTAATTTTTAACCAAGATCCTAACTGCAAAATATCATACAAGTCCAATCTCTCGATAAACCTAATAGGTAGGCTTTATCCTAGAAGGCATCCTGTGTCCCTGAAGAGAATAACATATTTTGAAAGTCAGCCCTGAGGTCTGAAGTAAACACTTATTACTGATAAAAAATGGAAAAATGAAAACAAACACCATATGAACCGGGTAGTACGGTATTATACACCAAAATAATTCTCATAATTTACTGGTGTCTTGAAATGGATAGAATACCACTATATATCACTTAATTGGAAAATGAGTAATAGCACTAAAATGAGAAAAAGTTTGTTAAGAATAAAAACTACTCGATAAAGATAATAGTCGTAAGCAAATAGAAAACTAGTAATACTTTATGAAAGTAACGTATTTTTAAATAGAAATAATGAAAATTTGGGAAACTTACCTGTTACACAAACTGCTATCAGAATTTCTGAGTTGCTGATAAGTATCTGGTGAATTGGGTGCACTGCCCAGAGATCTGTGTAAAATAACACTTGGCTTAGTAAGAAAATTGGCAGTGTCAGGAAATTCTATGTGTGATCGACTGGTTAGAGAGCCAGGAGACACTGGTCCATGGCTGGGAGAATTCACAGGACTCAGGCTGGGGAAAGCACCTTAAAAAATTAAAAGAGAGGGAAGAGATCAATAAATAAATACGTATGCACACATAGGCGTTTATTGTCTCTGTGTATTTAAAAAGAACAACTTCCTTCTTTAAAGAAAGCAAAGTATTTACAATTAAATGATAAAAGAGATTTCTAGGTGGAGCTATCTTCAAGACATTGTAGGCATTATTTGTCATCATCAGTGAGTGTGAAATAAATATTGCAGCAAGATGGCACAGATATTAACAGTGTAACTAAAATGTACAAAGTGTGGCACAAATTTTCCTAATTCACATTGGCCTTTATCTTTCACATTTTATGTGAAATTATGTGAAATTCACAAATTATGTGAAAGGTAGGGATACCTACCAGCTTATTATCCACATGAACAAAGTATTGCTACCAAAGTTTATTGAAGAACAAAAGTTCTTAACAACATTAAGCAAGCTGAGCAATGACAAAATTATATGTTAATGTAACATCAGATTCCTTTTAAAAATATATCCATATCTTTCCAGCTCATTATTCATTTAACAAATATCTGAGAGCCTCCTATATGGTAGAAAACGTGCTGGGTTTAACAATGGAGAAAAAGATACTATCCCTGCAACTCAACAAACCTAGTGACTAGTAGAGAATACAAACAAGTGCTCATTGCTAAAACATGAAAAAAACAGAGGGCTTCAGAAATACATCTCTAATGCTACTGATTTGCTCCAAAAACCTTCACTGAGTGCCCTGAACTCAGGGTAGAATGGGTATATCTGGAGAAAGGTAGGCAGATTTAAAACTTTATTTGGAAATGAAGATCCAAGTAAAGTGTGAATCAGAGGGGAAAGCAAGTAACAGTTATTCAGGAGCTCTGATATTTTCAGGCATAGTGGTATGTGTGTGATGGTTAATTTTATGTGTCACTCGGCTAGGCTGTCTACGGTGTCCAGCTGTCTGGTCAAGCACCAGGCTAGATGTGGCTGTGAAAGTGTTCTTCAGAGGTGATGAACATTTAAGTCAGTAAACTGAGTAAAGCAGATTACTCTCCCTCCTCATGTGTGTGGGCCTCATCCAATTGGTTGAAGGCCTTGAAAGAAAAGACTGAGGTCCTCCAAAGAGGAAGGAATTTTGCCTCCAGACTGCTTTCAGATTCAGGACTGCAGTACCAACTTCTCCTAGAATTTCTAGCTGGACAGCCTGCCCTGCCAATCTCAAACTTGCTAACCCTCACAATCCTGCAAACCAATTCCTTAAAATAAGCCACCTCTCTCACTCTCTCTCTCTGTAAATACATATACACACATTCTATTAGTTCTCCGGAGAACCCGAATACAATGTGTTATTTTATTTAATACAATGTGTTATTTTATTTAATACTACTTAGTTAAGTAGTATTTTCATTTTCCCATGTGGGGAAAAAAAAAAAAACTACTGAAAAAAAAAAAAAGGCTAAAAACTTGATTTAGTTAACACAGTTATCACCGGGAGATCATACTTCTTCCTGCAGAGCTGCCTCTACTGTTCTATTAGACTGGTTTATGGAGAGGCTCCCATAACTTCATACAGTGTTAGAGCTGAATGGGATTTTTTTTTTTTTTTAAATCTGGCCAGCCCATTTAATGTTTCAGAAGAGGAAACTGAGGACCAGACAAGAAGGGTCTTGCCTGTCATAATGATTAGTTACTAACCGGAAACTGAGGTTCCAATTTCTAGCCCTCTTCTCTCTAATTATACTAGTGAGTGTCCAAAATCGTGACAGACGGGCTAAGAAGAATAAAGGGTAACATGATCTTAGGGTAGAAATTTGATACAACAGAGAAAAACCTAGCAACCCTTAAAAAAATGCTTTCTACGATATAGATTCACCATTTTAATTTTAAACCTTTTTTAGTGTGAAATATAACACACATACGGAAAAGTTACAATGGGAATGCTCACCACTCAGAACTAAGACATAAAGGCATGGCCAGAGATCAGAAACCCCGTCTTCTAGCTCCCCGTCTTCTCATTAAAGGAAATCATATTTTGACTTGTATGGTATTGTTTTCCTTGCCTTCCTCTATATTTATACCACGTAAGTATGCAGTTTTTAACAATTTAGGTTAGTTTTGCTCTTATTTTCTAACTTTATAAACTGAATTAGACAGTAAATATACATGCTTCTTCTATGCTTTGCTTACATTTTAAAAAGATATTTCCAGGCAGTTGGGTATGATTGCAGTTCTCCGATTTTCAAGGCCGTATAAAATTGTACTCATGAAGATAGCACAATTTTATTTCTCTCTTCAAGTACTGAACTGCCAAATTGTCTTCCAAAGTGGTTGAAGCATTTCGCTTTCCCATCAATGTGTCAGCGTTCCCACGTTGGAACATTTTTACCACTCGTTCTTGTCTGTCTTTAAAATTACAGGCCTCACGGTGGGTATGAAGTCTTGGGTCAGTGTGGTTTTGATGTGCATTTCCCTAATGATTAAAGATATTGAACATCTTTTCGTGTGGTATGGGCCACTGGTGTATCTTCTCTGGAGAAATATCTTTTTTAATGAGGTCATTTGTCTTTTTATTATTGAGTTGTAGGACATCTTTGTATATTCTGGATACCAGAACACTATCAAATATACAATTTGCAAATATTTTCTCCCATCCTGTGTCTTTTCACTTTCTTTAGGTGTCTGTAGAAATACGAATGTCTTTAATTTTAATGAGTTCCAATTATCAGTTTTTCTCATTCAGGAACTGTGCTTTTGCTGTCATATATTAGAATGCTGTATTCGACACCCAAAGTCACAAAAATTTTCTGTCTTCTTCTACTAGTTTTGGGCTTTAACTCTTACAGTTGAGTCTATGATGCATTTGTATTAATTTTTGAGTATGGTAACAGGTAGGATTCCAAATTCATTCTTTTTCCTGTGTATATCCAGTTGTCTCAACACCATTTGTTAAAAACACTGTTTCTTCCCCATTGAATCATCTTGGCACCGCTGTTGAAAATCAGTTGACCATGTAAGGACTTATTTCTAGACTCTCAATTCTATCCCATTGAGATGGAATATCCTTATGCCAGTACCACTCTTGATTACTATAGCTTGGTAATAAGTTTTAAATTTGGAAGTGTGAGTCCTCCAATTTCTTCTTTTTTATTAAAAATTGCTTTAGCTATTCTGGGTCCCTTGAATTTCCGTATGAATTTTATTTTATTTTGTTAAGATTTTATTTATTTGAGAGAGAGTGCACGAGTTGAGGGGGAAGGAGCAGAGCAAGAGGGAGCAGCAGACTCCCTGCTGACATGGGGTCAATCCCAAGAGGAGATCATGACCTGAGCCAAAGGCAGACACTTAACTGACTGAGCCACCCAGGCGTCCCTCCATTTGAATTTTACGATCAGCTTGTCAATTTCTGCGAAGAAACCATCTCAGAACTTAATAAAGATGGCATGAAATCTAGAACAATTTGGAGAGTATTGCCATCTTAACAATATTACGTTTTCTGATCCACCAACACAGGGTATTTTTGTATTTATTTAGACCTTTAGTTTCTCTCAACAATGTTTTACAGTTTTCAGTATACAGGTCTTACACTATTTTGTTAAATTTATTCCAAGTATTTTATTTTTTTTAATACTAACTTTACATGGAATTATTTTCTTAATTTCAGTTTGCATTATTCATTGCTAGTATATAGACATATAATTGATTTTTGCATTGGGATCCTGTATCCTGCCATACTCATAAACTTGTTTATTGGTTTGTAATAGACTTTAATGAATTTCTTCAGATTTTATAAATACATGATGTCATCTGCAAATACAGTTTTACCTATTCCTTTTATCCCTTCTTACCTGACTGCTATGGCTAGAACCTCCAATCTAATATTGAGTAGAAGTGGCAATTATTTTATAACATCAAAATTATTTTATAGTTTCATTTTATAATTTCTAGTTCTTTATATTCTCTTTGATGAGACACTGTTGTCATAACTCTTCTTAAATACTGTAGATATTAGCGCCTGGGTGGCTCAGTCAGTTAAGTGTCTGGTCATGATCCCAGGGTCCTGGGATCAAGCCCATGTCAGGCTCCCTGCTCAGTGGGGAGCCTGCTTCTCCCTCTCCTTCTGCCCCTCCACCTCACCCCCCAACTGTGCTCTAATAAATAAAATCTTAAAAAAAATTTAGATATGGTTTCCACTAGTACTTTAAACATATTTATAATAGCAGATTTTAAGTCATTTAAGTCCAAATCCAAAATCCACGCCCCTTCAGGGAAATTTTCTGTTGACAAAAATTTGTTTGTACATGGCAAAAATGTGTTTCTTTGCATGTTTCATATCTTTTTGTTGAAAACTGGACATTTTAGATAATATATTTTAACAATTCTGGTATCAGATCCCTCCCACACCCAAGGTTTGTTATGTTGCTGATTTGTGTTTGTTTTCTTGCTTCTGGTTGTTGAATGACTTTCCTGGACTAATTATGTAGATTCTGTTTTCTCTGACTGTGTAGCCACTGAGTTCTTTGCTAGTTGTTGTTGTTTTACCTTTAAGTTCTTGATTTATTTTTTAAGCTTGACTTCCTGTAAATCACCCATGGATCAGAATAATTTTGTTGTCAATCAATGATGAGTCTGAAAGATTTCTTTAAATGTCTTGCCTATATGTCAACTGTAGAAGAGAATCTGTTGAAAAAGACACACTTCAAACTTTAGTTTATGAAACAGCCTTGGATTTCACGTCCTGCTTGTGAGAGGCCTCTAAGTCAGCTCCACGTGAGTGCCTGGGGCCTTCTCCTATGCATGTGCACAGCCTTGTAGACTCCCCAGGAATCTCTCAGACGTTCTCAAGTTCCCTATGGTCATTGACTAGTATCCAGGATTTCCTTTTAAATTCCCAGGTAGCTCTTGTTTGCCACCCCTGAAATCACAGCCTTACACAGTCACAATGCTGCCTGGCACAAGGTTTGGGTTTTCTGTTTGTTTTTTAGAGAGCTGAGCTCTTGAGTCCAAATACCCACAATACCCAAATACCCACGGGGAATAGAGATTTCCCAAGGAGCTTCAAGGTGGAACAAGGAGTTTCCTATATACTCTCAGTGGAGTTCTAAAAGAGGTCAGATCTCCCTGATCGTAGCAATGTTACCTGCTTTTAGCAACAGTGCCACTGAGGGAGAAAGAGGGGATGGGGTAGCCCCCAAATAAGATGTCACAGGACCCACGGGCTTACCCAGGCTCAGCAGTCTCTCTTATACAGAGGACTTCTAGTTTTTTCTCAGGCTTTTGTTAATTCCCAATGTTGTGAAATGGCTGAGTTTCATTTTTTGCCTTTTTGTTGATTTTAGCAGGAGAGTGAGTTTAGGAGATCTTCTCTCTGCCGTTCCTGAAGTCAATCTCTATATAGAGTTTTAATACTTTGAAACTCATTGAGACTTGTCTCATAGTCCAACAAATGGTCTACTGTCCTCCATCTTGTGTGTATTCTTGGAAAACATATTCATCCTGGGATGGCTGAATGTAGTGTTTTGCAGTCAAATACGTCAAGTCAGTCAAGTCATGTTGCTCTAACCTTTCATTTGTCTATACCAATATTTTGGTCTGCTTATTCTACTAATGAGAATGGGGAGTTAAAATCTCCAATTACAAATATGGATTTCTCTATTTTCCCTTTAGTTCTGTCGATTTTTAACTCATGTATATTATAGCTCTGAGATCAGACCTACCTGCATCCTTGGATTTAGAGTGTGCATCTTGTAAAGAGCATATGCTTGAGTCTTGTATTATTAGCTGCCTGACAATCTTTGTCGTTTAACTGGAGTGTATTTTCAATTTTTTGTTGAAAACTGGATGTTTTAAAAATATGCTTAACAACTCTGGCAGATCCCTGCCTCTCCCCTCCAACCACAAAGTGTATGTTTAATGTGATATAGTGTTCAATCCACTATCTTCCTATTTCTTTTTTAGTTGTTCCTTCTTTTTGTCTTTTATCTTTTCCTGGATTCTTTTGGATTATATTTTGTTTGTTTTTTAAAAAATCATGCCAATGTTACCTCTTATATTCATTTTTTATTTATACCTTTTTCTTTCATTCTTTTCGTTGTCACTCTGGATACTACAATGTGCATCTCTGAAGTACTACTTTCTCTCAAATTTATACTTTTTACAACTTTTACTAGTTTAAATCCATTTACCCCTCTTCTACCCTTTATAAGCCCTTGTTACCATATATTTGACTCCTTCATATATTATGCATGCTAAAAGGAAGTTATTATTGTGTTTTTAAATCAATATTCACTATATTCACCCCTGTATTTAGGCTTACTAGTACTTTTCATTCATTCCTGCCAGTATATGCTTTAGTGTGGATCATTTTCCTCCTACCTAAGCTACTACTTCCTTTACTGAATCTTAGTATTGCAGGTCTACCAGCAATAAATTCTATCAGCTTTTGTCTATATGAAAAAATACATTGCTTTAATTTTTAAAAGATATTTTCATTAGATAAAGAATTCCAGGTTGGCATTTTTCATTTTATTTTTCATTTCATTTCATTTAGATCTGAGTTTCTAACCTATATTACTTTTCTTCTCTTTAAAGAACTTCTTTTAATATTTCTTGTTTACTATTTCTTGTCTGTCAAGTCTACTGGCAACAAGTTCCCTCAATTTTTATTTGTCTGAGAAAGTCCTCCTACACTTTTGAAGTAGAATTTCAAAGGGTACAGAATTCCAGGTTGGTGTTGTTTTTCCCCCCTTCTCAATACTTTAAATGTTTCACTCCACTTGAATGGCTTATGAAGGTTAAGTCTGATGTCATTATTATTTTCGTTCCTCTACAGGTAAGTTGTTCCCTACCCCCACTGGCCTTTTTAAGGATTTTTTATCTTTGCTTTTCTGTAACTTGAAAACAATATGCCTAGGTATTTTGATATTTATCCTGTTTGGTGTTCTGTGAGCTTCCTGGATTTATGGTTTGGTGTCTGGTATTAATCTGAGAAAATTCTCAGTCATTACTGTCTCAAATATTTTTTTTCTTCCTTCTTGCTTTCTTTTTCTGGTATTCCTTTTGCAGTTGTCCACAGCCCTTGGATATTCTGTTTTTTCAGTCTTTGTTTTTCAGTTTTGAAGATTTCTGTTGACATATCCTCAAGCTCAGAGATTCTTTCTTCAGCTGTGTCCAGCCTACTCATGAGCCCATTGAAGGCATTCTTAATTTCCGTTACAGTGTTTTGATTGTGAGCATTCATTTTTGTTTTATTATTTAGGATTTCCACCTCTCTTATTGCATATTATCTACTTAATCCATTAGAGCCTTTGGCATATTAATCATAGTTGTTTTAAGTTCCCAGTCTGACAATGCCAACATCCCTATCTGATTCTGATAGATTACTCTGTCTATCCAAATTGTGTTTTTACCTTTTGGTACACCTTGTGATTTCTTCTTGATGGCCAGACATGAGGTACCAGGTAAAAGAAACTGCTGTAAACAGGCCTTTAGTGAAATGGTGCTGAGGTCTGAGGCAAGAAGGGTTGTATAGTCCTGTGATTAGATCTCAGACTTTCAGTGAGCCTGTGTTGCTGGACTAAGAACTTCACAAGTGTTTCTCAGGTTGTTTTTGTTTGTTTGTTTTGGGGCTTTGGGTTTTTTTGTTTTTGTTTTTGTTTTTGTTTTGCCTCTCCCTTTGGTGGGAGAATGACTAGAGCTGACTGAAGTTGAGTATTTCCCTTCCCCCAGGTTAGTCAGGCTCTGATAAATCCTCAGCCGATTAGGCTCTGGCTGACTAGTTTCTCCTGAGGGCAGCCTTGTTAAGAAGAGGAAAAGTGCTCTGGTGTATTTAAACATGGTTCCTTTTCCTTGCCCCCTGATAGCAGCATTTTCTCCACTATTTCTGAAAGAATCTGGTCAAGCTCCTGGAGGTGAATCTCACAAAATTGTGGGGGGCTCCTTATGACTGGGTCTCCCTGGAGTTTTTAATTCTCAGAGTTATCCTCCAGCAATTTGCCAGATACAGTTCAGTTCAGGCTTTCCTACCCCAGCACTGGTTCCAGGCAGTGGTTCTGAGTTGCCCCTTGTGAGTCTCTGCTCCAGTAAGTCATTACTTCCTGTATTTGCCTATCTCGCCAATCTTGGAGGAACCCACTGCCCTGTTTCCTCACCTCTCTCACAGATCCTAGAAGAGTTGATTTTTTAGTCTGTTCAGATTTTTACTTATTAGGACAGAATGACGGCTTCTAGGCTCCTTAACATGCAGAACCAGAAGCCATAAGTATTCTGTTATCTATATATTTTTTTCCCTCTCTCTGTTTCAGTTTGGATATTTTCTATTTTTCTGTTGTGTCCAATCTGTTCTTAAACCATCCTATAATTTAATCAACCACATTTCTCAGTTCTAAACTGTCCACTATTTCTTTTCTGTGTGTTCAGTTCTGTGTTAAAATTATCAATCCGTTTTTGTCCATCTTTCCTTCTATTTCTTTTAAAACATCATTATTTTAGGGCGCCTGGGTGGCTCAGTTGGTTGAGCGACTGCCTTCGGCTCGGGTCATGATCCTGGAGTCCCGGGGTCGAGTCCCGCGTCGGGCTCCTTGCTCGGCGGGGAGTCTGCTTCTCCCTCTGGCCCTCCCCCTCTCATGCTCTCTCTCTCTCCCATTCTCTCTCTCTCAAATAAATAAATAAAATCTTTAAAAAAAAAAATCATTAAAGACTTTGTTAAATCCAACATCAATATCTTATGTAGATCTTCTAGTGTCGGCTTTTCTTATCAGTAACATGTTCCTGCCTCTTCACGTTTTATTGATTTTTATTTTATATACAACATCATAAAAGAATTTTGTACTTGTATGTATATTCCATTACCAGACATAATGTACTTTAAAAGTAGGTATCAGTGTTGTTCCGTTATTGCTATGTTGTATCTGTATCTTTCATCTAAAATATTTTGAAGTGTTCTATAATCTCTTGAGTTAAAGAAAATTCCTTAATTAGTGGGGGTGGGTGAAATGGGTGAAGTGGGTCAAAAGGAACAAACCTGTAGTTATAAAATAAATAAATCAGAGGGCTGTAAGGTACAGCACGAGGACTACAGTTAATAATACTGGACTGTATATCTGAAAAGTGCTAATAGAGCAGATCTTAAAAGTTGTCACAGGAAAAAAATTTGTGACTATGTATACTGACAGATGTTAACTAGACTCACTGGAGTGATCATTGTGCAATATACACAAATATCAAATCATTGCTGTACACCTGAAACTAATATACTGTTATATGTCAATTATACCTTAAATAAATAAATAAATAAAATGGGAAAAATTCTATTAGAATGACTTACTAGGATATAGTCAGGTTTTTTCCACTCTCACAGTAAGGTAATTGCCACACTACAAAAGAATACCCTTTCCATACAATTTTCCCTTGTTCTGGATATGTGAATCTGGGGCTCTGCAACTACTCAGGTTAGTTAAGTAGTTCTGTATTTTATCCCTGAATCCCTAGTGCCTAACAAAGTGCCTGGTACACAGTGGATGTTCAAAAAGCATTACGAATGAATGAGCAAATGGTCAACTAATGGCCAATCCAAACTGCTTAATCGTGTTAACTTAGGACACACAAAATGGTATTCAAAATTAGCTCTAAATGTATAATGAAAAAATTGTGCACTACCAGATACTGAGACCTCCCACATTTAAATCATAAAGAATGACTTCTTACCAGCTCTTCTCAGACCTACATGGTGAGCTAGGGATACAGAAGATGACCTTTGCTTCGCGATTGTCTGTAGACTTGAACTAAAAGGCCCATTTAGATAGGATCCTTGACTAAAAGGGAAAGATAACAGATTAAGAATTTTAAAGCCATGGGAAATTTCCTCTTTTTTATTCATGATCTTCACTTCAACTAGGAAACATCTGCTTATACATTCGGAGTTTAGACATCTATCTAGTACTTACGCCTAAAGCAGGGGCCAGCAAATGCTTTCTGTAAAGGATCAAGTAGTAAAAACTTTTGGCTTTGCAACTACTCAACCCTGCCACTGCAGCATAAAAAGCAGCCACAAATAATAATAACCAAGTAAGTATGATTGTGTTTCAGTATAATTTTATTTGCAATAAACAAAAACAAATTCAAAACAGTTATGGACTCTATTAGGCCCACAGGCCATATGTAGTTTGCTGAACCCTGGTATAAAGCAGCTTATCAATATTATCTGGAGGACTTCTTAGAACACAGATGGCTAGTTCTACCCCCAGGATTTCTGGTTCAGTAGGTCTGGGGCAGGGCCAGTAATCTGCATTTCTAGTACGTTCTTAGGTGACGCTGACATTGCTGGGTCCAGGGACCTCACTGAAAATCATTGGCCTAATAATACAGTTTTCATTATTTCCTGCTTCCTCTCTTCACAGCTATTGATTACCGATTAAGTCAGTCATTTCCTATAACTGAAATATTTATTGTAGGTTTTAGAGCTCTTATGAAGAAATTAAACATAGGTAGGCAATCACACACTACAGCAATGTGATACGTAAAATGCAATTTAAGATTATATATCTGGAAGCTTTCCAGTGCCAAGCATGTATGAAGTACACCATAAAGTTTACATTTTCTTCGATATTCACTAGCCTGTTTTCTTCTGTCAACTCCTCATGTGGGCACTTCACCACAGGCTCAAGGACAAATCTAGATTCTCTATTTTTCACTCAGTATTTTTTAGTGTAGGCTAAGTTCTCAATAAGCTCTTCTCCAACTGCTTCATCTTTTCTGTACTTCCATACCCCGTTACTCAAGGAAGGCCTATTTTTTCTGTGACCTAAAAGGTTTTTCTTCATGTCCTATTACATTTATCCATAGTGTATTATAATTTCACTGCTTACAGATTCTTTTCCCTCATTATTTTGTGATTTTCTTTGCGGGCTCTAACACATCTCTCTACATTCCCAGTGGATCTAGCTCAGTGCCTGATACAGGTGTTAGACAGATATTGTGGAATAAGTGAATGATCTCTTTAGGTTGCTAGTCTCAGCTTCCTAGAGAACAGATCACTTTTGCTCCCCAGTTTTGGGCGAATGGACTCTTTTTCTTTCACTAACTCTTGCTTTGAGGCTCTCCTTGGATCTTTTTCTAGAAATCTAGTTTGTTCTATATCCCCATGGGAGAAAAAAATTCTGTATTACAAAAAGAGAAGGCACGTAAAACCAGTTAGCGACCATTAAAACTTCCTTATTGACATTAACAAAAATTATAACAACAGCACTATTTTAAGTATCTATTATGTACCATTCATTGTTTTAGGTAGTTTACATATGTTTATCTTTTTTAATCTCCTATTTAACAGATAAGGAAATGGAGACATCAAGAGGCTAAGTAACGTTCCCCCATTCACACAGCTAAAATTCACAGTGGCAGAGCTAAAATTCAACCTCTAATTTCTTTGACTCTAAAAGGAGAAAGCATTTATTTTCTACCTATTTTTAGAAGGTCTTGCCCACACCTTCCACAAAACAATTCTGATTCTAGCTTTGTGTGTTTCTCCATCTGTAAAATTAGAGATTTAGATGTAAGGCTTTTTTTTTTTTTTTTTTAGTGTTAGGGGTAGAATTTATTGACTCATCAGTTGCATAAAACACCCAGTGCTCATCAAATCATGTGCCCTCCTTAATGCCCATCCCCTAGTTACCCCATCCACCCACCCACCTTCTCTCCTAGAGGTAAAAACTTTTAACATCTAACTTTTAGAGTCTATCATATTTTATTCTCAAGCCAGTAGTAATGATAATTTGATGATGTGACAAAAAGAGGCAATGCAAATAATACCCCCCAATAAACTCATGTCCCTGCTTGTGCTCAATTGTTCTTTGTATTTAGTACTCCTTGCTCACAAGTGGGGGAGACTAGGGAAGCACATAAGAATACCACTCAGGGCTATATTCAAACAGAAAAATCTGTGTACTCTACCAAAGTTTACTCCCTGATTAATATTCAAAACAAAGATAAGACTTTCTCCTTTTCAAAACAAACCCACTGCACTGCTCCACAGTTTCCTACCTTGGTCCAGAGTCTTTTTTTTTTTTTTTTAAAGATTTTATTTATTTATTTGAGAGAGAGAATGAGATAGAGAGAGCATGAGAGGGGGGAGGGTCAGAGGGAGAAGCAGACTTCCCGCCGAGCAGGGAGCCCGATGTGGGACTCGATCCCGGGACTCCAGGATCATGACCTGAGCCGAAGGCAGTCACCCAACCAACTGAGCCACCCAGGCGCCCGATCCAGAGTCTTCTAATACTTGAAGTATACTATACATTCAGTTAGCCGTTTAGAATTGAGAGGTACAGGTCAAATTACAGGTTTTCAGCTGAGTTCTAGAATCGTCTCATTAATTTCTGGCCTACAACCAGATAAATGTACACTCCAATGAGATTACATAAAATACTGAAGAAAGCAGAAGACAAGAAGGATAGGAGTCTCAAGGTTTATTAATAGATGGTAGGAGGATGACTGAAGTCAGATTTGGGAATCATTACAAGAGATTGTCAAAAGTTATGGTCACAGAGTTAAGCCATATGTTAAGAGTTGATTTTTAGATAACCAATGCAAATTACCTTGATAAGGTTTGTATCATCTTGTGTGGGTGTGTGAGAAGCTGCATAAACTTGTTGGCTGTATGACATAGTCCAGATTCACAGAGCTATTCTCTTGAGAAACTGAGTGAGATGACACCATTAGCCCTCTTAAACCTCTGCAGTTCAAATAGCATCCAGGCATTGGTATAAATCTCTAATAAATTATGAGACACAGAATTGAGAAGCTGGTTCCTAGTACATTATTTAGGGAACATAGTTCCTAACAAATTATTAGGTTGAATTACAGAGCAGTTATGGAGATGAAGGATGAATTGGGGAATAGATTAAAGGCAAGTCTCTTTAGTGTAGGAGTAACTATAGTTGATAGCTCAGGGAGTTTTGGAAAACGATTTGCCTATTTTTCCCCAGGGAAAGTCTGTTCAAAGAAAGTGAGCTGTGAGCTCTAAAATGTGTTGTTTGTCCACAGGGAGGGATGGGTCCTAGCAGTCAGTCCAAGGATACAAGTTTAGCCATTTTTTAACCATAGCTACTAATCCTAGAACTCAGAGATGGGTAATCCAATTGTCAGCTAACCCAAAAAACATTATTCCACATCTCCTGGAACTTCCTGACCAGAGAACCTTCAGCTGAAACTTCAGCAGAAGGCAGCATCCGCTGTCATAATCCAATACGGACACTATACTCCTGCAGGACATTTGTTGAGCAGCTGTTTATCTTCAAAGATCCATTTTAATGCAATCAAACTCATCACAGCAATCAAGCAAGCCTCAGAAGAGCAGTAATGACTAACCCACGGTAGAAAGTGAAAGTGCCATAAAAGAGGCAAAGAAAAGGTGTTAAGGAGATTCCAAGGTGAAACAGATTACTTCTCCTTGGAAATCAAGGGAGGAGGAGATCAGGGTGTTATTCTTAAAGTGAGACCTGTTCCAGGGAGAGAGAACAACTACCGGGGGGCATAGAAGCGGACAAATGGAGGGAACAGCAAAGAGTT